AATATATATATATATATATATATAATTTTTATATAAATATATTTTTGTTTTCATTTAATTTTAGTTTTTTATGTGATTTTGTATGTGTGTGTGTTTTTTAGTATTACTATTAAGATTTAATGTATTTTGATTTCATTTTTAGCTGTAGTTTTAGCTCAATTTAAGTTTTTTTTAACTTCCAGTTAGTCATTTTAATACTTCAACTTATTTCAGTTATAGATGCCAAGGCACCAATTCAAAGTTTTTTATTTAATATTTATATTTTATTGCAGCTTTATTTTAGTTAGCAAAAATTTTGTAATACTTTTAGTTAACGATAAAAGCCCTGCTTGCTTGTCACCACCAAATTAGATGTGAGTTATGTTGTTTGTAATATTGGGTATTTCCCACTGTTTTTCCAGCCAGCAGGAAGGGAACTGGAGTGGACATTAGTCAAGCGGGGAATTCTGGGAGGATTTTGGGTCTTAAGTTTGTTAACTGGTCACAAAAATATATTTATACCCGCCAGTTTAGTTTTCAGTGATGTAATATTTCCTGAGCGTTAGCAGGGCCGTGTTGGGTTGCGCTCAGAGCCGTGTGCATGCGGCGTGCTCCGAAGGGGAGTGAGTAATTGAAAAGTCATGTTTTATGAACGACATCTGTTTGGGATTTTTCCTACAGCTCCTTGCCGAACTGATCCAGAGAGCTGCAGAGGTGCTAAAAGTCCCAAACTGACCTCAGCCTGTGAGTCGGACAGCCCACTGCCACCACAACAGCAAGGTACTTCAATGTATTTCCACGATATCCAGTGAAAATGGGGAAACTATGTAACCCAGAACCAATATGGCTGCCAAACTGGATCATGTGATATAGAGGAAGCAAATTGTATTGTTCACATGATATAATATTGTGGACTATTTATTTATTAAAGATGTCTTTCAAGAAAACTCTAGTCAGTAAAGGAATAGCTATAAATTTGCTAAAAATTTACTCACTTTCAGGGCATCTAAGTGTGTTTGCTCATAGGAACAGATTAGGAGAAATCCAGCATTACATCACTTGCTCAGCGATGGATGCTCTGCAGTGAATGGGTGCCGTCAGAATGAGAGTCCAAACAGCTGATAAAAACATCACAATAATCCACATGTAATCCACACCACTCCAGTCCATCAGTTAACATCTGGAGAAACTAAAAACTGCGTGTTTTTTAAGAAACAAATCCATCATTAAGACATTTTTAGGCAAATCCTCTTTCCATAATATTGCTTTCTCCAGTGAAAAAGTGGTCTGGTCTGAATCAGGAGAGAAATCTGCACAGATCAAGCACCGTGAAAACAGTCCAAAACAGCTCGAAACAAATATGTGGCTGGATTGAGAGACAACAGGAGATGGACTTTTTCACTGTAGGAAGTGTTATTATGGATTATGGACTCGTATTTTATCCGGAAGCAATGGTTTGAAGTTAAATCTTCTTAATGATGGATTCTTTTCTTACAAACATGCAGCTTTTCACTTCACAAACACTAACTGATGGACTGGAGTGGTGTGGATTACTTGTGGATTATTGTGATGTTTTTATCAGATGTTTGGACTCTCATTCTGACGGCACCCATTCACTGCAGAGCATCCATCGCTGAGCAAATGATGCAACGCTACATTTCTCCAAATCTGATGAAGAAACAAACTAATTTACATTTGGGTAGCCTGAGGGTGAGCACATTTTCAGCAAATTTTCATTTTTGTGTGAACTACTGCTTTAAGCCTGTCTATGAAGTGACAGACTTGTATGATAAAAAACGAGAAAACAAGTTTTGATTACACAATAATGTGCATCATTTGTTGTACTAGTGCAAAAAAAAAAAAAATAGCTTCCTCTCATGGCAAATGAAAAATATATCATTATGAAACTGTCCAGCACATCTAATTTATTCCAATTAAAGCATGCATCACTGCATATGACTTCTAATCGCATAAATAGGAATTTTCCGGGAAGCCTCGAAAGGCGGAGCTTAGATAATGATGTCATAACGTCTGCTTTCTGTTTTTGTCCAATCAAAACTTTAATTACAGACTCCACACAGCACGATGTGTCTTTGTCAGCAAGTTTCGAATATTCAGACTGGAGAGTCATTGTAATTTGTTATTGGTCCTTATGAAATGGTTTCACTGCTTTAATGATGGGTCACGATGATCTTGTTCTTTTTAAACGAAGCCAAAACAATAACATTCCCTCGACGCTTCCTCAAATTCCCGAACTATTCAGAGAATCACGTCATCATATATCAAGACTTACAAAGACGCTGATTTCATCATGGGAGATGAGAAAACTGCAATTCAAATAAAATAAAGACAGTAACGGAAACAAAAATAGCAGTCAGTTTCATCTTTGTGACGAACAAAGCAGGTTCTCTAAAAAATCCTGAACTATGTCACAGTTGGGTCGTCCTTTTGAGCAAATAAACACTGACGCAGAGCTGCACCTTTTACACTGACGCTGAAAAAACACGGCAAGTGCCGAGCAGGGAATTGGAAGGTTTTATATTTTTGGGGTATGGAGTCTCTCGCTCTCTTTCTCTCTCTCTCTCTGGTCACCCAGCTGTGCAAACATCCTTCAGGCTTTGTTGGGGAACGGCCGCCAGTAATCCAGGGAAACAGCGGGAAGGTGGCAAAGCCTAGAAGGCAGGTCTCTGTGAGGCAGCCACCCAAACACAGTAAACGGCAACAAAAAAAGTCATCAACTTCTGATTTGAATAGATAAAACTCTAGATACATATTATGCTGTCATTGTATTAAGCTCCGCCTCTTTGGAAGTTCAGAATGCTGCGATGTAAACTCTTAAAAACAAAGGTTCCAAAAGGGGGTTTGTTGCAGTGATGTCATAGAACAACTATTTTGGGTTCCAGAAAGAACCTTTCAGTGAACAGTCCTTAGAAGAGGCATGTTTCACATCTTAATAATCTAAAGAACCTCTTTCCACTGTGAAGAACTTTTGTGGAGTGGGAAGATTCCATGGATGTTAAAGGTTCTTTTTGGAGCCACAGATGCCAATAAAGAGCATTATGTTTAAGAGTGTACATTATGGTTGGGATAAAATGGTTGGGCAATTTCATATTTCCCAAAGGAAATGTGGGTGTTTCCCTAAGCAAAACTTGTGTTTTTTGTTTGTTTTGCACATTTTAAATATACATTTAATATATTCAAGGGGTAATTGATGGGTTTTTAATAAACCTTTTAAATATTTTTTTTTATTAATATCTTGAATTTGTTTTTTATATTTTCATTTTGTATTTTAATTTTAGTTTTTTTTTTCCAGTAAGTAATTTTCATGCTTCAACTTTTTTTATTTTATTTCAACTTTATTTCAGTAAACAAAATGTTAGTTTTAGTTAACGATAATAACCCTGATTGCTTGTCACCACTGATTTAGATTACATTAAATGTGCTTTGTCATTTCTATTATTTCTCTCTCTCTCTCTCTCTCTCTATATATATATACATATATATTATACTACTATTTTTATTACGTTTTTTATTTACTGCTTATAGTTTTAGTTACTGCTTATTTTCAAAAGTGTCCACACGCAAGTCTAATAATATTCTGCAATGAATATTATGCTCTGAAGATATGATTCACATCTCGCTTTCAGTATGCTCATGGGAATTTTTTCACATTTTAAATATACATTTAATATATTAAATGGATAATTCATCACTAGCAAGATGGGCTTTTAATAAAACTTGGCCGTCTATAGTCAAATTGCAATTTTTGTATTTATTTATTTTTTTTTAATCTGTGCTGCAGACTAAGGAAAACAGAGAAAAAGGGGCTGTGGGTTTCATTTTTGCCAAAACCTTCAACACCCGTAATGCACTTTTGATTTTGGCACAGCTGGAACTTTGATCTATAGCAGGGGTGGCGAACGTCGGTCCTGGAGAGCCGCAGCCCTGCAGAGTTTTGCTTCAACCCTAATCAAACACACCTGAACAAGCTAA